AACTAACAAAAAACAAAAGTTGTAAGAAGGGTTCTTGTACTTATCAAAATAGTTGCACTTGCGTATTGCGTGGGAGGATTCAGATGTCCAGAGTCTAGGTGGTGTCCAGTCTACGCGATTAAATGCTGTCAAAGGTCAATCTCTTCTGACGGCTAGGGTATGATATTGCCCTGGTGGTCACGTTTTTGGTGTATTCAAACATTTATCCTTTAAGAGCTCTTGTCAATTTTCAGTACAAAAATGCTTATCCTGCGAACAAATATGTAGAGAAATATTTAGTTGGTCACATTTTTAATAGATTATTGCAGAATATTTACCTTGAATTCTTTCTTGGTTTCAAAATCTTGTTTCAATTTAATCGGCGGAATGCAAGTCCAAAATTACCAAACTCTCCTTAAAACTGGCTTATTTCCAATGACGTCAGCTTTAGGCCACTGCTGAAATTTTAAAAGAGCGATTAAATATTTTGAATACGGTATGGCCAAGCTAAAAGTTTGCTTCTCCATAAAATTGGAGATTGGAGACAATTTCACACACACTGCTGAAAATATCCCAGTAAATTTATTTACCTCGATATACCAGTGCATTGTCAGATGTTAAATTTTCCTCCAGACAGCCAGAATCAAATCCAAAACGGAAATTAAACTGAAATAGTCCAAAAGCGACGCAGAAACGTGCACACGGTTTGTGTTTTTCCAAGGAAATGATGGCGACTCGGTCCGCGCGCCGAGACGCCGCGCACCTTGTTACTAGGTAGATTTGTTAAAGTTACAATGTATCTAGTAAATTCCACAAGGTAGCTTAGTAAAAGTTGTAACGAACTTTTTAAAACGTTGCAAGTTCATCAACCAGACCAAACCAGACACTCATCATACAAATACAAACTCGGTATGAAGAGTTCATTTGAAAGTTGCAAATTTTGACAAAAACGTTTTTCATTTTTTATTTCAATTTTATTTTTACATTACGATATTATAAATCATTAGGTCAAGAATCTCAATTATTACCAAATAAATAATTTTTATGAAAGTTTCCACCTTTGGAAGTAAAATAATGATAGTAAATAATACAAAGGGTCTAAAAAAATTGAATTTTTTCCACGTTATGAAATAGTACGGAATTTATTATATAAGCAAAAATAACTTCATTTGGCCATTTATTACGGAGAAACATAACATTTATAAAGAAAATATTTTTATCTGCTGCTAGTTTAATCATGAGAAAAATATCTATTTAAAATTACAATAAATTTTTTAAATAATTCAGAATGAAAGGAGTTGGAAGTGCTAATTATATTTTAAATGAAAAAAATATTTAATTATCTGCAATGACAAAAATACAATGTTCCCGCTGATAAAAATTCAAAATCTACAAGGAAGGTTTGTTGATTTTACTAGTCTACTTTGTGGAATCAACTCGTAGAAGTCTTGGTTACAATGCCGTGTTTGTTAAAAGTACAAGGTATTGAAATGTAAAAGTACATCTAACAATGTTCTCTGTGAAAGTTACTGCTCAAAAATTGTTACACTTGCAATTTTCAACTTGTAAAATTAACTAATCTCTAGCCTAGTAAAATTAACTAGTCGTTATCTTGCGCCTTGAACAAGTTAACTCTGCACATTTTACAAGGTAGAATAGTTACTGCCCAGTTGTGCCCACTGTCACTGGGCTACCTAGTTAAATTTACTAAGTTACCATGCTGGATAATTTTACTAGGCACGAGCTTGTTGCTTTTACTATCCGCCTCGTATAAATAACATATTTCATGTAGTTAAATTTACAATCACCTAGTTAGATTTGAGTTAACTAGGCAAACCTGGTATTTATTTTTCTCCGTGCGCAATTAAACTAAACAAAAACCATGTTCATCAGCATGCTAAAAAACGCGGACTATCTTTTGCAAGTTCTGTACTGAATTTCGTATATATTTATCCAGCGAGACAGAGTGGAAATTAAATTAGCTTTCATTCCGACGACAAAAGCGCCAGAATTTCTTCCGCTTTTCCTCCGGAGAGGCATTTTCCGTTGCCGAAAAATTAGGATATTTCCTTTGAATTATTCATGGCAATTTGTAGGGATGAGAGGTTTAATTTATTAAGACCTCCTCTCCTTGCCAGAGAGAAACAAAGGCAAAATTTATCCTTTGTCCGCATTTGGATCAGACAGTTTTCAGTGGTGTTCGGTTTTTGTTACTTTCGGGACCTTTGTTTTGGAAAAACAAAGGCCCTTTGATTGTAAATGAATTTCCATTTTTGTTGCTAAAAACTTTGGTCCTTTGTGAGCCTTGACCATACAAATAATTCGCCGGCGGAATCGATTCGCGTTTGAAGTGCAGGCTTTTTGTGCGCGACCAAATTGGTGCTTGTTCTCGTCGCTCGCGATGGGAAAAGAGCATGTTGTGGTGGCGGCGAGGGTCGTACCTGCATTGCGGGATGCGGTCGATACTTTCTCACAGCCAACTTGCCTCTATCTCTTCGCTGCACGGCCAGGGACGCGCGATAATCCCAATGCTCAGCCAAGAAAAAGTGCGCCCAGGGTGACATTTTTCTTATTAAATTTTGATCAACTCTCACAGCGTCGGCCAATTTTTATCCTAACGTTAACACAGCGTTAACATTAACTGGTAACTTCTTTTAATACAAATAATTTAAAATAATTTATTAATTTATTTGATAAAATGCAAAAAAAAAAAAAACAGAAAATACAAAGGAATTTACAGAGAAAAATTGGAAAAAAAAATATTTTCTTATTTTATTGATCGGACTGAAAAATTGATAGTTGTCCTAATTTAACATTATAAATTTAAATATGACGTCCACATTTTAAGATTTCCGATTTTCTGAAATATGCGTAACTTACAATTAGTTAGAGTTAACTAGTTTATTAATTTCATTATAATTGAAACTTTCTGGCTTGGCCTAACCTCATGATGAAATGAACGTGGGTGTGCAATTATGGCTGAGCATTGCGAGTTTCCCCGTCTGTAATTTCAAACTTGCTCTGCCAAGGGTCCGCTTTGCTGTTCCCAAATTAGCATAGCACTTTCGCCAACCGTGGCATCCCTGAAAATGAGGGTCTTTTGCACCACTGTACTCTGCCCATGGGGAGCAACAAGTATTGATGAGAAAAGTCGAGCAGCGTTCAGTCTGGCATATTGTAATTTGTATGCTTTTCCGGGCGCGCAATAAAACTTTGTTCAGCACGTAGGCGCGGCTTATTTTCCTTGAAATTTGATACATGGTGATCTGGTGCGGAGATATCGCTTGGGAAAAAAAATTGCCTTGGTACCGAAATAGAGCGAGCTTTTTATTGGGTAAGGAACCGGGCTGATTTACAACGGCTTGTGTTTGGCGTGTTGTTTTTGTCTGGCGAAACTGTCGCTCGCAAAGTGGAGTGGAATAACAAAAAGCATTCTATTTTTTACCCTTTGTCTCATCCCTTTGAAGTTATCTGTCTCTCTTTTTTCCAGTCCAGTGAAACTCGATTTTCTCCCGAGCAACTCTCTGATTCGTTATGTGCAAGGTCCGCTCGTCAGAAAATTTCGATTGTTGTCAAGCTCTCTGATTGGGTACAACTTTTCTTGTACCCAATCAGAGACCTCAAGCAACAATCAAATCATTTTTCATTGTTGCTGATGCGCGGACCTTGGTTATGTGCAAGATTTCTCCACCGAAAAACAAACATCAAGTCCAAATTATAGACATTTTTAAATAGAACTATTAAATTTGGAAAATATTTATTTATTCCTTTAAATAAAAAAATATTTTACACAGTTAATAATAAATTTAAATCTGGATTACTAATTTACTGAAGAAACTCTCACAAACCACAAATTAGCGTGCCGTTTGTAATAAATTTATGCACGGTAATGAATTTAGAGCATCAGCACACACACTATCGACGGTTTAATTGCAAGCCTCAAATTAGATCCAGAGTGTTTACAGGCAATTTACCAACAAGCACGAAAGCATTAAATGCAAATGCAATAATAATGGCAAGGGTCATGGGCTCGCATGCGACGGTGATAAAAGGGCAGGCCCTGATAAAAGCAGGAGCCACGTGTGCGCAGAGGCAATTCTTCTTTGCGCAATTTAATGTCGGTCGCACTCGCTGCGTTGTGGCTCTATATATTTTTTTCCAGCAGCGGTGGTTGAAAATCAAGTCACTTGCCATGGTGAAAAGTCAGAGGCCACTTAATTTTTCATGCTTTTCTATGCCAAGAGCACGCACAGAAAATTTAAATTCAAACCAGAGAGAGAGGTTAACGAGCAAAGTTGTGCGCCGTGTCGCACACGCATGAATATTCATTTGAAAGTGACGCCCAATTTGCATTTTCACTTTTGAGTGTCTAGACAGGTGATTATTTGTTAGTAGAAAAACTACATACGAATTTTATTGTGAGTAAATTTGAAATATTTTGAGTTGCCGAAAATTCAATTTTGGTCCTTTTTAAGTAATCGACGTTGAAAGCTGCAGCCAAAAAATTAAGATAAAACGCTGACGAGGCCGTGGCAAATTTTCACTCGTGCCTCTGGCAAAACCCAACTTCATAAACAACAGGACATCACGCCCATTAAAAGCAACGCTCCTGCAGCTCAATAGCGTCCCTTCTGTTGAAATTTAATAACGACAAATTGCAACACGTGTGCGTCAACGCGCGAGTTAATCGTGAAACATCACCGTGTCTGCCTTAATAGCTCCCGCTCGTCAGTTTGCGGTGTTAAATTTAATGAAAGGCCGAGAAGAAATTTGTGGTCTCGTGTTTTAAATTAATCCACTAGTCTTTTTGAACAGACTGTGATTTTGTTAACCAGCTGAGGTCTTTAAGGCTCACCAAATCCAGAGTAGGAAAAAAGGTCTTCTCTGGTGAAAAAGCTTTTCTCTGACGCACGTGGCTTAGCAGCTTAGCGTTTTCCTTTCTCTTTGTTGAATGGGCGGATATATCTCGCTCGAGGCACAATCCAACTTGTGGTTGAACAAAAGTGTGTTTTCTTTTTCAGAGTCCGGTAGAGGTGTTGGAAGAGCTGCAAGAGAACGACCTGGAACCGTGCTACGGCCGCAAGTGCACCTCAAACGAAAACTGCTGCCCCGGCTCCGTGTGCGTGGATGTCGACGGAAGTAAGTTTCATTTTAATCCTAAACTTGTTCCATCTCTTAAAAAAATAAAAAACAATTTGCACAAGTAATTGGTATCTCTGGTAAAAACTCATTTTTCGTAAATCAAATAAGGATAAAACGGAAACTCATTATTTTTAGCTTTACCTTTTGAGGTTTATTTTTTTAAGGAAGGCAAGAAAAAACATGTTAAGTGGAGGAGAACAAAACGCCGCTGACCGAGTTTTCGTAGCATGTTTGTTTAAAAAAAGAGGAACATGGAAAGCTATGTTTGCTTAACCCTCCATCCATTGTGCGGCAACATTTATGCCGGAGTTTTGCCTCCAGCAGAAGAAACACGCATCCTGATGTGTAAAATTCAATCAGCGGGATGAAATTGAATGATGTGAAATTATTAATTAACCGCGAGTTACGTAACTCACGGGAATTCGTTATTGGCATTCATGCCCTACCACGCAATTTCCAGCTTAATATGCAAGCAGGAAGTACGGTTTTGCCTCTGAGGCACAGGCAAACAAACAAAAGGCCACAAAGGGATGTGTTTCAGCCACCCACACACATCGCTCCCACGCATCCGATGCTTTGACTTTCTAGAAGCCCAAAAGCCATTGATGCATTTTGGCGTTTTCTTCCGAACGAACGGAGCGTTTTCGACTCGATCCATTTTGCTGAATGTATTTTCGACACAATCGAGACCCTGCCTTGATCAACATTCTCATGAATACGGAAACGCCTGCGAGTCGGCGAGGTAGGCAGCCTGCGAAGCAGAACTGTTGCGCCGGCTGCTTTCGCCTGTTCGCTAAATCTGTCCTGCTGTTGTGACTTTTCCGTGTTGACTTTGCCCGCCGCTTTCATTTGGCTAAACACGAGACGGGAAAACGAGCAGCAGGGCTTCGTGGACCGCGTGATTTAAGCTTCATGAATTTCAGAGCGAGAGGCGCTTTTTGCCGGTGAAAATGTCTGCAAGTTTATAATATACAAGTGGCAGCCTCACTGACGCTTTAATGTTTAACGAGCCGAGCGCGGGCAAACTTTTTCAATAAAGTCAAGCGACAATGTGCGTGCACTATAGCTATTCACATAAACAACTCTGCCATAATCAAGCTCTTTAAAACTTTTGCTTGTTCTCTCAGTCACACACACCACATTCATTCTTGCTGTCAGCGTGACTTTTCTCTGGCCTTCAAAAGTTATCACAAAGCGGTGATTGTTTTAGCTTAAAATGATTTACGTTAAATAAATTTTATATAAATCAGACTGCCTTGAAAGAGGAAATTTATATATTTATGATATTTTAACGACAAATTGTAGTGTTTTTTTTATCATTTGGGATATAATCCAGTTATTGTGAATAAAAAATCTCAGAAATTAATTAGAGTAATTTTGTAAATCACGCAATACCTATTTCAATCAATTATATAGAAAGATTCCAATATTAATATACATGACCTTTTCTTACATCTTAGTTGTCGGCTCATGTCTCTTCGCATATGGACTGAAGCAAGGCCAACTTTGCCGACGGGACAACGACTGCGAGACTGGTCTGCTTTGTTCCGATTCTGATGGAGAGCCACGCACTTGTCAGCCACCAAACCGAACCAACAAGCAGTACAGTGAGTGCATATTTTTTTATTTCTACGTCAATATGTGTTTGGAAACAAAAGCAAACACAGCCTTGATTTTGCAAGAGCAAAGGAAAATGTATCGGAGAGCAATTCCCTGCTGCGAGACCACTTTTTGCCTTTAGCGCCGAGCTCCAATTACCAGTAATTGCCGCTGCCTGAAGAAGGGCTTGCTCGGCCCTCCTTTAGACGGCCAGAATCAATTTCGAGAGGGTTTCTTGTAGAGAGTCTCAAAGGCTCGATTTATATACGGAGCGTCTGGAAAAGGGGTGCAATAATTTATCGCTCTATTGAAGATGAAAGACGCTGAAAAAATATATCTGGACAGCTAATAGCTTTTGCGAACTCTCGATTGAAAAGGTGATTAAACGAGCGATCGTTTCAGATGAGGACTGTACCATGAGCGGCGAATGTGATGTGACTCGAGGCTTGTGCTGTCAGTTGCAACGCAGACATCGTCAGGCTCCACGAAAGGTAGGCGCTCTTTATACAGTATATAAGAGGCATCAAATTTGATCGTTTTTCAAAAATAAATTAGAATAAATTTCAAAAATTAAAAATTAACTTGGAATTTCACATGACTTATCATTTAAAAAGATTTTTATTGCTATCATAATACAAAAAAAAATATTTGATTTTAAACCGAATAATGGGCAATTTGAGTATTTGCAATGAGTTTTCCTTATTAAAATCACTCTTGATTTTCAATAAAAATAATTTATAGTGGTTTTAATTGGCAAAAAAAAAGCATTAAAATGTTATTCTAAGTACTCTGAAAAAATTTGTTTGAAAAAGGCTAAACTCGACAGTTAAAAAGCAATTGAACCCGTTTATTATTCTTCTTCCCATTGACTAGGTTTTGGTTCCCATAAAAAAAACGCTGCGTTGCACCATTCAGTCGTGGTTAGCCCATTCATTTCAGTGGCAAAATCTCCTCTTTTCTCAAGACAAGGATAACAAGGGAAGCCGGCAGAATAAATTGCTTTAGGCCGTCTTAATGAGTTTCTCTCTTTTAGTCCCATTGGAAGCGTCTGCTTTACGCTTGAAAAGAAAGAGAGACTCGTTTCACTTCAGGGTGCCATTTAAATTAAGCACTTTGCTTTATACCTCATTTCTCTGCCAGAATAAAAAAGACGCGGGCTAAAATTAAAGTTGCCTTTTTTTCGTTAATTTAAGAAAAAAAAATATTTAATAAGGAAACCGGAAGAAAGAATTGTTAATTTTTAATCAAAATTAATTTTGTGCAGGTTTGTTCCTACTTCAAGGACCCTCTGACTTGCATTGGCCAGGTGGCTGCCGACCAGGTGAAGGTGGCAGTGGAGCACACCGCGGGCGAGAAGCGCATCACCTCTAAGGTGGGCGCCTTCAACCATCTGCGCAAGTGAATCGGTCCCTGCGTCGACGGCGTTGCAACAATTACTCTACCATGGAATCCGCTTCATTTACACACAGTTACTCAATTACATAAAAAAGATTACAGGATGTTTTTTGACTCCATCTCGCTAACAAGTATAAAACTCTATATCTCTTTCCATCCATCAGTGATTATTGCCAATTATCGATGTTTTTCAAATTAGACGGAAAAAAAATCTTGATGTGACTCCGCGCTCTATTTATCTCTCTCTCTGGTAAGAACGAAAGTGCTCGTATGGTTTTAGGTTTTCCACCCATCGGCGCTTTTTGATTCTTATATACACGCCGTGCGCCGAAGCGCGCGTGCATAGTCTGATATTATTGAATCTGGTCTGTTGCTGATCCCCTGACTTGAACAAAATTTAATTCGAGAGAAGCATTTCGATTAAAACCGAGTGCTCGTCTGCAGATGAACATAAAAAATTTATGCACACACACTCTCTTTAAAAAATAAAATATATAACGAGATAACGCTGCAAAGTTACAGTAGATTGACCCGCAAACAAACTGCCCACGATTGTAATACCATGTTCTGATTTTGACTCGTCTTGGATTGTATTATACTCCATGTAGTAATTGTAGTGTCGAATTTATTCCGATTATGCATTACGTACCGCATAATTATGGTATAATTATTAACGTAGCGTAAGTAGCGGTTAATCCCTCTTTACTGGCTGAGGCATTATTCACCTAAATGTAGATGTTGCATTATCAATTATTATATTGTCGACAAGAAAACCACGATTAAGCGCGATTGTGCTTGAACGTTCGTACGGATCTCGAGGCATGAAAACAAAAAATAATGCCACTTTGCTATGTGTCACCTTATTACCAATTATTGCAAAACCAACCACTGCACCCAGCAAACCCCGACGCACCTGATTGTGTGACTTTACTGATACAATAACCCTTGGGCGAGGATTGACCGAATCGACTTCTGCGGCCAGACGGTCACGCGTCTTCTGCCTCGACCTCTCTCTTATCTTCCTAGGGCAATAAAAGTGCACCGTGTCTGGCAGCAAAACTCCTTTCGGCGTCCGTCTGCGACCACCAGAATAAGCAAAATTACTAAGCTCTTAAGATAATATAGGAGAGAAAAGAAAACACGCTTAACGCGCTTTCGATCAATGACGAGGCACTAAAAAAAAATGCAATAATCGGCAATAATAAGCATAGTAAATATCCTGTGTAGGTGTGTTTTAACCGGTGTGCGTGCATGCGGCTCTAGCTTGTAATGGAAAAAACACACGTATATAAAAATGATGCACACAATGGTGGGCGCGTTGCAATACAAGTTTTGGGTTTTGTTGGTCCAGCCGAGAATCGCCTCTTCCGCTTTTCTCCCGTAGACGCGCAATTCCTACAAACTTTTATTCCAACCCACCGAGTTCATGTTTGGTGTGAGACTATTATAGATTAACAAAAATGAAATTATACCGTGTAAAACTCTAAATAAGAGGAATATACCCGTAATACATACAGAATGACGCATGTGTAAAGAAAAAATAATCATATCATGATGTAGATTTTAGGTCCTAAATCAGGCATGGTAATGCTAAACGAGACCGGGTGAGATAATTAATCCTTTTACGCGCGACAGGACATTTTTTCGGTTCAAGATTTGAGCACTAGGACCTTCCATAGCATTCCGATAAGCAATTTTAGCGTGACCACATTTCTCCCCAGACCTTTGATTAATTGCAGTGTTATTTTACAAGTGGCAGAAAAGCAAATACGACGATTTCACGAGGTTCATTTTGGTATTACTCGAATTTCCTTCTTGAGAAAATTTTAAAGAAGAACCTCTGCATGTAAAATCTGCAGACCGAGAGCGAGCAAAATGATGAAATGCACTAGCTGTTGAGGTTTGAAATCCACCAAAGTATATATTGCTCTCTCCAGAGGGGATTGGACAGTCTCTCAAAACCAAATATTAAAAAAAAAATGCTATGGAGTCGACACTTAACGGAAAAAGGAACTATATACTGAAAAATTATAAGCCTGTTCAACACATATCATTATTACTTAAGAGGAAAATTTTAGAGGAAAAAAAGAGAAATGACGATGAATAAAACATATCAGCAGATGATAAGCTGCACCAGTTTCTTAAGGAAGATCTATTTTGTTATTGAACGAAGTGAATATTTTGAACTGCTATCATATATCTTATTTACTATAAACGACTATGTAGAATGTACATTATTTACTGTGCTTTTAACTTCTGTGGAGGGCTGGAGAATTTTATCCCTCTCACCGACTAATTATTGCGATGTTATGGAAAAACTACAATGTATTCTATTATGTTACTCAGGTTGAACACTATTTATTATTGACATATATTGCGAGATATTTGAATTATATGATCGTTAGTGTTGGACAACATCTGTCGTTCTCACAAAGTTGTAGCGTTTTCTTTTCCTTACGACAAATTCAAAACACTCGTGCATTAAATTTTCATTAATGGCATCCCAACGTTTCGAGTATTATTTGTGTTGCAACCTTACTAGGAATTTGAGCAAATGAAAGCATCATTGAAGTTTCAACATGAAATAATATATATTATTATCAAAGTAGATTACACTCTTGGTCTCATGCTTAATTAAAAAGGAATAATTAAAATCAAAACAAACTTTTCTTTCTTGAAGCTACTGAAAATTATAAGTCATGTAAAAGCATTAGTTCAATGGAATGAGGCAAAAATACATTTGTTTCGACAGAGGATCGTAAGTCTCTAATAACTAGATCTAGATTTGTGGAAGATTTGTTAAAATCATTTTTGGAATCTTCAAAACGTCTTGTGAATACTGCGACAGTTCAATTTTCAGTGTAAATTGATCATCTTAAAGTTTATTGCTGGTTAAGTACACTCTTCAGCCCTGCATGACCATGTTGACGAATTCCTCGTAATTGATGTTACCTTGCGAGTCCTCTTGGCCTGCCAAGAGCTGCTCGACCTCGTCGTCAGTCAACTTTTCACCTAAAAATTAAATTTGAAATTAAAATGTGAAACTTTCTTGACATGATCAATTGATCAAGTTATTTATAAAAAGATTGATTTTCTTACCAAGGGCAGTGAGGAGGTGGCGCAATTCCGCAGACGAGATAAAGCCGTTGCCGTCCTTGTCGAAGTGACGAAGGCCCTCCAGGAAATCGTCAGCAGTGTCTGTGTTTTTGTTCTTGACAATGGCTTGGTAGATTGGCAAGAAGACTTCAAAGGTAATTCTATCTTCTGTAATCATAGAACAAATTTTAATCCATAGAAAATAACAGGAAATATTTTAAGACACCTTTAATTTAAAAAAAAAAGATTAAGAGAATAATTAGGTTTCAGGATTGTTATATTTTATTTTAAGGTTGAATTTATAAATAGCAATAATTAGGGACAACAACAAACCTGGTTTGTGTTGAGCGGTGAACTTCCTCACGTCCGACTCTGTGGGATTTTGACCCAACGCTCTAAGTGCATCGCCAATCTGCGTGACTTGGATTTTGCCGTCCCCTCTGTTGTCGAAAAGCTGGAATGTCTCCTGGAATTCTGGAAGATAAAAAATAACAGTTATTTTAATTGCTTACTTGGTTTAATCTCAAGCAAAATTTCTATTGATATTGAATTAAAAAAAATATAATTAATTTAAGCCTTTCCATAGCAATACAATGCTTTGAGCTTTTTTTTAAAAGACACGTTATTTAATTTCACTGTTTTAAGATAAATTAATGTAAATAAAAAGTAAATATGTATTAAAAGCGCCAACTGATAACAAATGAAGTTAATACAAAGTGGCGACACAATTGAGAGACTTTTGAATAATCAATTGTCTAAGAAGGAAGATAAAATATTCTGGTACTTTCATTATCAAATCTACACAGATTCAACAGAAGTATATAAATTTATAAAATGAATGAGTCATAGGAACTTGTTGAAGTGGGATTTTTGCAAAATTAAAGGCAGACTGCTGACGTTATTTGCAAAACATTTAGTTTCTTTTCTTTCGAAATAATGTATGGAAAAATAAATACGTATGTATTATAGTTCTTGTTCAACTTGGTTTTGAACACATCTCTCCAAACATGCAAATTGATAATTTTTACAGTCATGTGATTATTTATCAAGTAAGAAGGAAGCAAGACTGTAAAAATGTTTTGATATAACGACTCGATATGAATTTCAACCGAAATAAGCCTTATAAGGTAAAAATTTAATTACACTGGAAAATTGAAAATTTTTCAGTCAGGCCAAAATTTACCTTCAACCGAATTCATGACAACTTTGCTGTGCATTTGGTACATGTTGCCAAAAATCACAAAACGCGCACAAAAACACAGACCGAACGCGTCCGGAGCAAAAGAGAAACAGACGCGAAAATTGAGCCGCGGCGCCAGATGTTGTTTTCCAGATTTAGCAGACGCGCTAGTGGGGAATCGCGAGCTTTATACAGAAATTTTCAAAAGCTTTCATTCTGGCACCAAATATGGTAGAGATCGCTTTAGGCGTGTCAAGTCGAGGTGAGTCATAACGCGCCGAGGTTGTTTCTTGACCCAGTTTGTCCACTTACCGACCATCTGATCCTCTGACAGCGCCGCCTGAAACGAAAAATGACTTTAGACAATCGTTTGCGCCGATTCGGCAAACTTTCGGCCGTTCATAAGGCCTGGAATTGAAAATTTTGCCGACTGCAAGTGCACTCACCATTGTGTTTACCGCAAAGATAACGGAATGGAATGACACACGATCATGGAAGTTTTCGCCGGTCTCGCTGGAGCGATATTAATGCAGTAAAAAGTAATAATTAGGTGGAGTTTACAAAAGGAGTTTGTTTTTATTGACTAAAAATACGAGAATTTTCAAAATATGTAAAAATTAATGCAATAATTTGTCCTCTAGAATTAATAATACAAAATATTTATCATATTTTAATGTTTTTTTAAGGGTTAAAACGTATTTTAAAAGTAAAAGTATCTCAACCCTAGATGACTCCTCTGTAGAAACCCTTTTACCCCCCACCCTACACGTTACAGCTCTAGCAAGCGATTGTCGCGCCTTTGATTTTGTATTACCCCTCCACCTCCCATTAGTAGACAATCCAATGGGCGCGCATGGTTCTGTTGATAATCCTCCTCTTCGTCGTCTTCATCTCTTCACCTGCTCACCTACCTGTTCGTCAGGGTGATTTTTCAATTTCTGCGCAAAAATCGGCAGCTAAAATGAAGTCCTTCGTTTCCTACTCTTCCGATTGCGAATTCCCCATCGAGAATTTGCCTTACGGAGTTTTCTCCACCGCTGACAACGTAAGTTTGGTTCTTTTCAAAATTTTGGAAACGCCACGAATTTTTTAATGATTGTATAAATTAATTATTTACCGACGACGCCGGCGACTCAAGGTCAGCCGGGTACAATTAAGTGGCTTCATTTGATTCTTTTTTTTTCCAGTCCACTCCACGAATCGGTGTTGCCATCGGCGACCAAGTTTTGGACCTGAGTGTCGTGAAACACTTTTTTGACGGGCCCCACCTCCGAGACAATCAGACTGTTTTTCAACAGGTAATTTTTTTATTGGAATGTCAAGGGCACCTTGGGGCAGGTAGAAAAACTGGAATCTCCGTCTCATGCGCGTGTTGACAATAATAATCAACGCAGGCAGAAACCTTCAAAAATAATTAACACTAATGACGAGGAATAAAATTAAATCATGCAAAAATATGGAAAATGATAAAATTAACTTGCTTAATTTTTCTTTTGAAGAGATGATAGCAATTTATATTTTTTAACCTTTAAAGATATTATTTTTTTATTTGAAATTAAATAATTTCACTTTTTCAGTCCACCCTGAATTCATTTATGGGTCTCGGACACAGTGCCTGGGCAGAGGCAAGACAAGTTCTCCAGCGGCTCCTTTCTGTGGAGGACCAACGTCTCCAGAGTGATGCAAATCTTCGGTCCAAGTATGCGTTGGCATTTTATTTGAAATTTAAAACTGATTATTTTTAAATTTTTACAGGGCGTTTGTTCCTTTGGCTTCGGTGACGATGCACCTTCCAGCCAACATTGGTGATTACACCGACTTTTATTCCTCGATCCACCACGCGACCAACGTTGGCATCATGTTCAGAGGCAAGGAGAACGCCTTGATGCCAAACTGGTATTTTAATTTTTGCCTATATAAAAAATTGCAATTATTTACCGAAAAAAATTAAGGAAACACCTCCCCGTTGGCTATCACGGTCGCGCCTCCTCCATCGTGATTTCTGGCACTCCGGTTCGACGTCCGCTGGGCCAAACTGTGCCTGTGGAGGGAGAGCCTCCTGTTTTTGGCCCCTGTCGCCTGCTGGACTTTGAACTAGAAATGGGTTTCTTTGTCGGACCGGGAAACAATCTCGGAGAACCAATTCCGGTGGAAAAAGCCCACGAGCATATTTTCGGATTTGTTCTTGTTAACGACTGGAGTGGTATTATTTTTCTTTAAATTAAAAATAAAAATTTCTGATTTTTAATTTTGCAGCCCGTGACATTCAAAAGTGGGAGTATGTGCCTCTTGGTCCGTTCCTGGCTAAAAATTTTGCAACCACAATTTCTCCCTGGGTCATCACCACCCTGGCTTTGTCGCAGTTCACCGTGCCCAACTTCCCGCAAGACCCTGAACCCCTCAGTTACCTGAAACACAGCGACCCTTTCAACTTTGACATCAGTTTGGAAGTTGACATAAAACGTAATTGAAATTTCCCTTTAAAATTATATCATTGAAATGATTTTCAATTGTAGCTGCCGATGCTGCAATTCCGAGCACTGTCGTCCGCTCCAATTACCGCCACCTTTATTGGACTGCAAAGCAGCAACTGGCCCACCACTCTGTTACTGGATGCAATTTACGGCCTGGAGATTTGCTGGCTTCTGGAACCATCAGTGGCGAAGTAGGATTTTTTTTATTTATTAATGTAAAAAAATATGAGATATAATATTCTAGGAACCGGATTCCTTTGGATCTATGCTTGAATTGAGCTGGAAGGGTACAAAGCAGGTGCAGCTCATCGGAGGAAGCACCAGAAAATTCATTCAGGACGGAGATGAAGTTATTATGAGAGGTTAGGAATTTAATTTTTAGCTCTCATATGACACAATTCTTAAAAAACCTGTTAAATTAATTTTAGGATTTTGCCAAGGAGAAGGATTCAGAGTCGGGTTTGGATCTTGTGCTGGAAAAGTCCTTCCAGCTTGTCCTGGTGTCTAGACAAAGTCTCGAAACAATCCATTCCAATATATGGATTGATAGCTGAATCACGGTTAAAGGTTGGTGCTTTTGCTTGAAAACAAATCAAACATGTCTAGATCTGATATAATACTGAAATCAAATTATTTTTGAGAAACATTTTAATAAAATAAAATCTAAGAATTTTTTTACTTTAAAAGATTAAAATTTTTTAAATATCTGTTAATTTTGTTCCATCTTTTGAATTGACTCTTTTTTTCTTTAAAATTTTCAAATGGATATTGAGATGGAGTAAAACAAGGGATTTTGGATTTTGGTTGTATTTATTCACGCCAGCAGCAATATAGATTACTCATTTTGTCAGACTTTCTAACAAGTGGTACAGCAGTTATTTTGCTCTACACCATTAGGTGGGCTTGGGACTTTACAATATAGTGCGTTTTACCTACACCAGAATGTAGAAATCGTTATTTCGTTTTACCAACACTTTTGCTGTTGCTAATTTCAAGGAAACCAAAACCAAGAATACAGTGGTACAGGTTAAGTGCCATTTGTGCAGTTGTGTGCAAAATTTAATATTGGTGCGTTTGGTGTGCGAAAAGTGTGCAACATTCATGGGTCAGTACAGGTTACATATAGTACAGTGCATTATAATGGTTGTGAGTGTGCATAATTTAACAATAAAGGTGCAAGTGTGGTGCATGGGGAAGACATTTAGTGCTCAAGTGCATTGTAAAACTTCAAATAATTAATTTATAGAGTGCATTAAAAGAAAATGATTAGCAATTTGTGCTTTAAACAAAAAAATTGTAATGTGCATTCATATAATATTTAATTTTTGTGCTGAAAAAAGAGGAAAAATGAGTTAAGTGTGCATTTAAAATTCAGGGTAGGAAGTGAGAAAAGTGCATTATAAGTGTGTGCATAAATTATATGAAAATAATATCTTTTATTTAAATATAGTGCGACGTGCATGAGAAATTGGTGCAGAAGTTATTGAGTGCGTTAAGTGAGTAATGTGCATAATAAAATTTGTGCAGAAATGAGAATTTTTCAGTTAAAATTTTTACAAATTAAAAAAGGATATTTTCAATTTTTGTAGAAAAAAATCAAACTTTGTGTTCAATTTTTTTGCACAAATTAAGAAGAGCTGAAAGGAGAATGGAAATTTGTTGAGCTATCAAGAAGTAAGAATTTTTGATGTATTGCCAATTTTCGTCATTCCACTCAAACAGATAACGATGAGCAAACCTTCAGTGTTCTCTGCTTAAAATTTTAATAAAACATTTCTGATCAATAGAGCGACGCGTCAAGTTATAGTTTTGCTGTATTTTTCGATCATGATAAAAACTAAGAATAATTTGTCACGTCAATAATTTGTGATGAGTATGCTTCAAACTAACACTCCAAGGTTTTTGCAACGTTGTTTGTCTCTTCAACTTTTGCCCGCTTTTTACAAAGTCTTATTTTACACATTTTTCCTCAACCACGATTTTGTTTGTGCTAAAATCTACAGCCATTTTTTTTGTGTGATAATTTTACACCAACATTTTTTTAACACTCAAATATCAACTACACATGTTTCGTCAACAAGATGTAATGCACAACTATATTAACATCTTTTGGCCCCCGAGGTCGGCAAAATTTCGTTCTCAAAGCCAACCTCGGATGTTTTGTGATTTTTTTTTGTTTTCATGCATAGCACTAACACAGAACCGTTACATATATTAAGTATTTACAACAGCAATTTTCACATTTGATGGTAATTCCGCGTCTACACTTTTCAGCCCGCGCCTCGTAAAAGCGCGAGTTGTCAAGACGCGGCCACTCCTTTTCTTAATTGAGTTTTTTGGAAGACATTTGTGATTTGTTGTTTTTAAATTGCTTGCGAGATCTCGACAATTCAGTTCGTTTAAATCACATAAGCGTTGAACAAAATGATTGCACTATAGAAAAAATGGGAACAAAAAAAATCTCGACTCGGCAATAAATTATCCGAGCTCACGAGAAATTTGTTTCTATTATATCTCGACTAGGATTTAATTTTTATTATAACTACTGGGTTTGAAATCGATGAGTTCAGCACTGGGGCCAGCATCTCAAAGTTCCACGCCGAGGTGAGTCGCACCAAGGCTGCGTTTTAGATCACTATCGTGTCATTTTGAGTAGCGCCGACCGGCGCTACCGTAAAATACTCGGAAACAAGGATATAGTTTTCAGATACAATCAATAAAGATGTGGATATGCTGGTATTTCAATTGAATTTTGGCCGATTTCTCTTATTTTTTTCTTCGCTAGAAAATAATTTCTCGTCTCTTGCGTTATCACAGCAAATACATTTATGTTAATTTATAACCGTCTAGAGGCAGTGTTTAATTATTTACTTTACTCTTACCGGCGACACTTATCATTTAAATATTGCATTTACACGCGCATTCGCTTTGGCCACGGTATCTGGGACGTATTTTTTTTTGAAAATTTAATCGCCAATTTTTGTTTTAACCCAATTTACCTTGGCTGTCCGCGAATTTTGCAATTTAATTTGGCACATTCATTCACCTCGCATTAAAACAACGAAAAACAAGCCGTGGTATGAGAGAGCAATCAAAGTAAACACTTACTTAATTACGCGCCCTAACACTGATTTCGATGGCACTACCAAGAGTTTGTTGTAAACTGAACGACCTGTGATAGTGGTTTTCCATTTTTATATTTTCAATCAGTCCCTCTAAGAGCATACTGTGTTTGTCATTTTTGCCTTTCTCATAATACAGCTTGGCTTTTCCTAAGTAGATTTTACATATCCAAGATATTGTCAGTACAGCAGTGTGGGTGTTTTTGACTTTGTTGGTCAAAAATTACAAATATTTTCAATAATAATACACGATAAACCCAAAAATAAGGAGTTTTTCCGCGAAAAATATTTCCATCGTAGATAAAGATTTTAATCTCAAAGGTGTCTATTTTTTTCGTGGATCTTTGGCTTTCAGCTTCTTATTTAAAATTCGTTCCAACTCCCAAAATCGCCTGGACATGGGATAACAATGAATAAAATAATTAAATATAGTTTGCTCGAAGTGCTTGTTATATGTACACACGTCGGACGCAGGCAGTAAGGAGATCAAAGTCATCGATCAAAAGATTCTCGCGTTTAGAAAGAAAGCTACCTCATACCTCACTTGGGGTTCTCCTAATCGCAAGGCATCTGTCTCGCAACTTTTAATGCAATCAAATTATTTTCAAAGATTCCGAAAGATTCCATTTAAAAAAATTAAAACATTTCTTTAGTACAGATAAAAAAAATAGGGACTTTTTTTTGAAAAGAATTAAAACATAAATTAAGTTTTGAAGTGCAACTGGATGAAGCGTGCGAGCCTTTCACGTCACAACCTTATCCCCTTGCTCTGTCTACGGCCGCCCTGCCCAAGCGGCTTCTTGTTATTGCAATTCTACACTATTTCATTTTTAGAAACATGGCTAATTGTGGTAACTGATACGGGGGATACATGTAAGAGAGTCACCTTAATATTAGGCTGCTTGTAACAAACCCCATGCAAACGTAAATTCGATCGTGTTAAATGATAACAACCCTCGCACATCCATTTTTTTTTATTTTTCGCCTTGAAATAAATTCAACCGACTCTTTTCCGCAAGAGGTCGTGTTTGGGAACCGAATTCGTTAAATGTCAACACCTAATTTTTGAAACAGCTAATGCAACGAGGATTACGTGTGAAGAATAATTATACTTGACGCATTTCATGTACAATTCCTAAAAGTTGATTTCAGAATACACGCGATTATTCTGCCGACTTTGCATCGGCGACCAACAGTGAATATATATATTTGTGTATATGGTATATATTTATCGATTGCGACCTCTAAACTCCTCAAATAACCCATTTGTATATAATAACAATGCTTTAGTTACTCCCATTAGTAATATGAATCTCTCTCACCCCTAGCCAGGGGGTTGGCATATTTTTAACTCGAAAAATAATTCATATATCTGCGCAACTCAGGACGAAATCAGTTTTTTTTGCGTATTTTCATCTTTCACCTCTAACTCGTTTATCTCGTAAGGCAACCTAATTTTTCATCACCGACTCGAAACGAAATGTGACAAAGACCAACTTAATTTTAGAGGGTTGAAACGGGTTTGGTACTTTACAAGTCGTGTCCCAGCCGGTCGAACTCGTCCAGAAGGAAGTCGACGTCCTCTTTCCTGCAGGCGCCGTTCGAAATGATGTTGCGGAAGAAGTTGGGTCGGCGGTCGTCGGGCTGATAGCCGACCATCAGGGTGCCGGACTGCATCATGCGTCCCTTCAGGATGGGGCAGATCTGACCAAAAAAGGTCAAGCAAAAGCCAAAGAATAATTAAATAAGCGCACCTGTCCCAAAATCTTTTCCCTCTCAGGGCCGTGGGGCATGTTGCGCAGGCGGGTCGGGATGTACCAGAAGCTGACGTTGACGCACTCGGGCTCGGGCAGGACGAGATAGAATTTGTCCGGCATTTGCCTCATCCTTTCCACCATGTACTCGGACAAGCCCATCAGATGGTCCATCAGTTGTTCAAAACCTTGCGTGCCCTGAAAATTCAGATGATTTGATAAACACCAAGAGCGAGTAAACAGAGGAAACTTGTTTTACCTTCGAACGCCACTGCAGCCACAGCTTGAAAATGTCATTGTGGCGACCGCACTGGATGACCTTGTCTCCGGTGTCGTAGTTGACGTCATACAGCTTGTCCTGCATGAACAGGTAGTCGGCACTCATCTGGTTACAGCTCAGCAGAAGACCCTGGATTTGCACGCAAAAAAAAAAATACAATCAAAATATTTACGGAGTTAAAATTTCTATTCATAAAAATTACAGTCTCGAAAAATTAATAAAACTACTTAACAATTTATTGCCAGTTCTCAGTGAACGACATTTTTCAATTCAAAAGCCGTAGTTAAATTTTTTTTAAATGTAAAGGAAATATTAGGAAAGGAAAAACTTGCCTCATCTTTGAAGTGGATAGTTGAGCACTGCAGCAAGGCTCCCATGAGTTTGTGAGGATTCCATGTGACAGAGTCAGCCCTGTGGGCAAAAAATAAGTAATATGGTTGTTATTCACACTGTTTAGTTAAAAAAAAATCAGCATTAATAAACAAATTTTTGTTTATTTAAAATCTTGATTAATTAATAAAAATACAATATTAATATATTTCCTATTAATTGGAGTTCTATAATTTTTTCTTCTGGAAAATTATTGCTCAAAAAGTATACGACATTCAGAATATTTTCAACGCAACACAAAAAAACTATGAAATGGCTTCGTATACACTAAAACTGAATAAAATATGAACAAATCCTTAGTAAATGAATTGCAACATTCTATCCTGATCAGGCAAATGGTGGGCAATTTAATCTACTTTTAAAAATAGAAAAAAATAATTTATTTTGCAATTTTCCCACAAGATTTAACAAAAAAAAAAAAAATAGAAGAAATTGAGATTCATTAAATTTTACTCTCAGCTTTCCTTTTTATTAAAATATTTTTTCATTAGCACCACTTCGCTGAAGCTCTCGCACACAATCTTCCTGCACGTATTTCCCCTCCGCAAAAAGTTAGACAGCCAAAGCTTCAGTAAATCAACCACAAATCACCAAAATCCCAGTTAATCCATAGCAATTAGCCGCGCCGGGTCATTGTTTGGTCTAGCTTGAGCAGACAACAGCGGAATTCACTCGACGCTGCCGTGCAAATTAATTCCGAATAACACCGCGGCTTGATTAATGCCATATCAGAGGGCGACTGCATAGCCACAAGAGCCGAGGCTCAGCTGCAAATATTGCGGCATAATTAATTAAACTGCAGTGTCGGGCCACGTGCGCGTCTCTCCTGCTCGGATAATAATAATTACTACGTATTGCCCTCCCTCGGCCATCAAGTGCATTCGCCGAAGTGATTTATTATCGTCTGCGCATAGTGTGTGTAATAAAATGCAGACGAGGGTGCTGTTTTTCTACTTTAAAGCTCTCTGAAACGTGTGCATAATGCGGCCCTCATTGATCGGGGGAGGGCACTTTAAAATTTCGGGTTGGCGCCCCGACACGGCGTCGAATCAATACGCCCTGCCGGATTAGCTGAGACTGCGAATCGATAATGGAGAGAAAGCGGATTAGAATAAGTAAGTCACTCTCACCGCTAATGGATTATTCTGCGGATTGAAAGTCCCTTCACTCGCCCGTCGCGCCGAATAACACGAGACTTCAATCAACAACCCAAGCTATATTTACGCTTCCTCAGCAATGATGGGCGTTGATAAATTTTAAATTTCATGCTTTCCAATCATTTCGTCAGAAAATTCACTTAAATAGTTCAATAAGTGAAAGGAAAATGAAGCCAAAGGAACATTATAATTCAAATATAAATAAATATATTATTACATAAAATTAAACATTATATGGTTCTTTAGAAATATCCTGGATAAAATATAACGGCAAAAAATATCCATGTATTAAACATTGCTCTAATAAATTTAATACATTTTATCATATTCGAAGATATCAATCATAATTTTTTTACATTACACTTTATAAAAAACAAAGAACGTAGCCAAGAAATTTGCACTATGTAAGGAAACTCTAGATATTATCGTGACCATAATTTGGAAACGATATGTTGAATTTATTATAAAAATAAATCAAAGCATTATTAAAAATGAAAAGTTTTAAGACAAGTACAAAAATTTAACTACAGGCATTAAATACAGGCATAAAATTTTAATTTATTAAACAAATGTATAAATTAAAAAAATCAATAAAAAGATAATATTATTTAAAATTATAGATTTAAAAAAATATTTTAAGACAAGTGTTTAATAAAAATTACATTTTTTTTATTTCTTTTAAAAGAAAAATAATTTAAGTATTTTAACAAATTTATTAGAAAAGATTTTTTGTAGAGCTAAATTATTTTAAACACTAAAAAACATACAAATTATTTTCTAAATGTTGTATTCAAACTGTATCTTCATAGCTATAATAAACGCCTTTCATTATTTCTAGCTCACTGAAATTGATTTTCTCGTATCTGCTTCTCCCTGCGTATTTCATCAGCTTAATTCTTTTTGTGCGGCACAACTTATGCATTTTCTTAAACAAATATGAAAAATGACTGCGTTTTGCGCGTCTCCATTTTGTCCGATTTTGCTTTCCATAGTTCTGAGGCAAATAGAGGCGCCTGCGCTGGCGCCATCGCCAAAAGGAGGAGCCACCCCGGTCGCGGTGGCCAGGGGTTGGAATTTGTGGCGGGGTGCAAAATAGCATTCCCTTGGATTGGGGAGAGAAAATTCGAACCGCTTTTACGGCCGCGCCTTACCTTTCTACGCCGGTGAAGCGAGGGTGGCGATATTTCTTCGACAGCAGCAAACCTCCGCCCCAGGCCGCCTGAAGCACAAAATTGCACATAAAGTTGGGCATAAAAATGCTCAGAAAATAAATGGACTTCTTGACTTAATATCCAGAAAGGAATATTCGGGAGAAACTCACATCTATGTGCAGCCAGCAGTTGTATTTTTCGCAAATGTCAGCGATTTCGTCGATGGGGTCAAAAGCGCCCAGCACGGTGGTTCCTGAGGTGGCGTTCACGAAGAAGGGAATGTGGCCTTTACCCTTGCGCTCCAAAATCAACCGCTCCAGCTCTGCAGGAATCAGACGGCCTCTGAAATAAAATTGCATTTTCTTTTTAAAAAAAATATTAAATCTTGACTCATTTTCATTTAATATATAAAATATCTGACGAAATTATCAAAATTATCCCTTTCTTTACTATACATAGCCAAACTCCTTTTAAAATCAGAATCAGTGCATATTTTTTCCATAAAGGTTAAAAAATGAACTCTTTTTTGTTTGTTTGAATGATTGAATAATATGCCTTTTTATTGATGGATAAATCTATCAAAAACAGCACTGAAGAGGTACAAATTTAAAAATATATAATTCATTCGTTTTTTAATTCAAATAACTCGTGGAATATTTCAACTATATTTGGTTGTTTTATGCAACCTGAATGACTCTCATGTCCAGCAGGTAGTATTCAGGACTTTTTATAGCTTTGTTTCTCTCCATAATCAAAGTATTCTAAACTTCTAAAGTGCCTCCAGTAAATCAATAAAATTGATAATTGACGAGTTTTAACTCGTTTAGAAAGAAAATTTGTCGGTTGAAATTTATTTTGAAATTAAAAAGATTTCCTTTAGCGTATTTTATTTTTAATGATTAATGAACTGCTTCAAAATGACAAAAAAAACTTCAAAAATTTTATGACCAAGTAAAATGAATAGAATTATTAGAATCTCTGAATTTGAAAAAGGGGAAGTTAAAAGCAATTCATGGTGCTAAAATTCTACACGTATCGATGAAATTCTGAGATGGTATACAAAATTCATAGTAGCTTAAAAGAACGTCGCAATAATATTTCAATTACAACAAAAACTTTTCATTTTTACGGCTCCAGTTCGGCGAGTAGGTTTAAGTTGGAAACACTTTTGCTTCCAAATTGAGCCTATGAGTTTAAGTAAGTTGTTTACTAGAGCTGGCTGCCAATTCTCTCCCAATTCTCTCCCAATGTGATTTTTCTATTTCTGTTTGACTTGTTGCGAGAGAATAATTGAATTGTTAAAGGAAAAAATGAAGCCAATATTTCACTTACCGTTCGTCGGACGGTACTTCGACGCAGTGATCCACTCCGAGGCCGCAGACGGCCGCGCAGCTCTTGATGGAATAGTGGCACTGGAGGCAAACAAACACCGACCATTGGCGACCATTTCGGGAAAGGGTTTTAAAAATGAAAGGGTCTGACCTGGTCAGAGGTGAACATGACCAGTTGGCCCGGCACGGCGGACAAGCCCTTGTCCTTGTACTGCGGGAACTTCTTGTGGCGGGCGGCGAGGAACGCGTACAGATTGGAGATGGAGCCGCCGGGTGCGAGGATGCTGTCTCCTCCCTGCCAGCCGATGATCTCGCGCATGCGGGCCAACACCACCTTTTCCATCAGGATGAACACCGGAGCGATCTCGTAGGTGAACATGTTGGTGTTGGCCGTCGCCGTCAGCCACTCGCCGGCCATCGAAATCAGGTCCAGCCCGCAGGACAGCTGGTTGAAGAAGTGAGGGTGACCTGTTTAGTACCAAAAGATATAAAATATAGATATTTAAAAAATTATTTTATTTCTTCGTTATTTTCACTTCAAGAAATAATAAATTAAAATCAGAGTTATTGAAGAACCAAGTACTAAAAAAAAAAAACACTCTTATTTTAACTGAAAGAAAATTATGATTTTTCAATTAGACATCTTTTCATTTTATTGGAATTCTTCAAACGTAATTAAATCAATTAAACAAATTATAGGTAAACTATTTTTACATAAATATTTTTTTAGATTGGTTGTAAAATTGAAATAGAATTAGAATCAAATTTGTAAACGTAATAAATAATTGATATTTAATTTTTTTAATAATAATTATATGATTTTTAATTAATGTAATGAAAATTATTTAAAATATGAAGATTTAAGTTAGTCTGTTTGTTGAAAGTGTTTTATTAGGATGATTTCCGAAATTTAAATATTTCAACATGGCAATTTATTACAAGAATTACAAGAAATAAACTGCTTTGAATAATTCCTTTGGTGTGTTGCTTTACAAAGTAATTTAGATTAAAACAATTAGTAAAATTATAAAACAAGGAATAAAAATGATTCCTTGATAGGTCCATTTATGTTTGTTGGTTTATTATCAACGTTATTGAACATCAATGAAGTTTTAAGATGAAACGACCAAGACTTCTTAATCGTTTCAAATTTGGTTTGCTCAATTTGTGCATATTACTTGAAATTATTTGCATAGAAGCAAAATATTAGTTTGGGAAGCATAATTGTGTGCAATTTTTTCAAGGCAGTGACGTGGGTTGGAATTTAATTAAAGTCGCAGCTGCACACGCGATCAATCTCTCTGGGTTGCTGGCAGCCGAAATATGTTCTGTACAAAGTGAACTAGGGTCCGACTATTGCGGGGTTGCTCCCCCGGCGGATGCCCATGCAGCATCTGCGAATTCCGTTCCGCCACGTTAGCGGGCCAAGCGCCGAGCGCTTCAAATACGCGCGGCACTGCAAACAATCAAATTCCTCTCAAACGAAAACGGTTCTATTTTTTACTTTCAAAATTATGAAAATCTCTGGGTTTCGATTCATTGTATGGAAAAGCAAAAAAAAAAAATCGATTATCTCTTAAGAGGAAAAACCAACAACAGCTACGCAAACATATTGCGCGATAACCGCGAATTTACATAGAAAAGCATCTATCTGGCCATCAATCTTGGCTTTGGTGCCAAGTGCAGTAAACCAAAGGGTGCATTCATTGTCGCCCTCCCCCGGCTAATCTGAGATAGCGCGAATTCAATTAATATTCACTCTCTCCTTATCGCAACAGTAACAGGCCACAATTCACCGCCAGCATCGGCCTGCGGGGGACGTTTTATTTCCTGCTTTTTAGCCTCTATTCACACTTGTAATTCGATTTTCTCAATACATATGCACCGCGAGATTCGCCACAAAGACGCACGTGACCGAACCTTCACTGATGAGCCTATTCTACTCTCGATTCCGGCGATATCTTGCCGCAGAGATACCAGAACATCTATTTACAATTTTTGCAATTTATTTTTTTTTTTTATGTAGATTCTCGTGAATATTATTACGGACCCCCTTTACGTTAATTTTATGTAACTTTAGCAACATCTACTCTATACTTTCTCACAAGTTTAGAATTTATTTGTTAAAATTTAATATCATTATAAAAAATTATTAAAAACGATAATATATGGTAGCTGATAGAAATTTGTTTTAACATATTTTTTTCTTTAAATATGAATTTTGATTTAAAAAAAAGGATTTAAAATTTAATTTCATAATAATCTTTAAAATATGAATTTTAATAAACAAATAAAAAATACATATTATAAATTAATAAGAATTTTATACACTTTTGTTATTTAACACTTAAATTAATATATTTACTTGATGCAAGAAGATGTAAAATAAAATTGCATGTCCCTAAGAGCAGTTGCAAAATGATGCTCTATCTATTTTGTTCTAGTTTTGATGAACAAATAATCAGCGAGCTGTTGTGTGCGCTGCTTGTGTCTCTCTCTGTGTGTGTTTTATTCCCCCTTAATCAAAAAGAGGGAATAAAAGAAAGAAGGGAAGTGTGCGGCTCGTCGGCCGAGAGTGAGTGAAAAGAAAACCCGTCTCTTGATAGCGCGCCGGGATCATTGCACCCCTCCGGATACCACTCGGTTGACTGCCGCCGAGAGCCGACTTGAAATATGTTATTGTTTTTCGCTCCCGACATTCAATTACAGCATTAAATTGTGCGTAATCTGCCGCCAGAGAGGAGGACCAGCGGCGCGGCTAATTGTCCGAAATGACTCTGCAACCAATCCCTCTGCCTGTTGAGAGAGTTTTAAAATAAAAAGGTTTGTCGCAGAGATAAGGTTTTTCTTATTTTGGTGGATTTCCAAGTTCTTTTAAGCGCACGGAGTACTCGGCGGATGGCAAGTGCAAGTGAAAGTAAGCGACGTCAAAAGCAGCTGTGCTCCCCCAGCGTAGACGGGGGCGCTGCCGCTCGGCTGCCCCGAGTAACTGCTGCTGTGCATCAAGTGTAGCAGAAAATTGTCCGATATTGCGGATTACAATCGCGAGGGCGAGCGATTTTTGACGCTCCGGCCACCAAACTGAATGAGACCGTTTTCAATTTGAAACTACCCCTTGAACCAGGAAAAGCAAAAAATTGTTTAAGTCCTTCGAAATTTCTCTTGTTTGAAACGGTTTGAAAAAAACATTTATTATTATATATCATAAGCTTCAAAATAAAAAAATTAACCTGAAAGTTTACGCTCATAGTGGATTTTATGAAAAATAAAAACGGGGCTTTCTGTTGCAAAAATTGAAAAAATAAAAGTACAACTAACACCAATAGATACTTCAAAACCTAGTGTTTCTCGTTTCTGAGAGGAGGAATTTAAGGAAAAATTGGAAATTAAATTAGTTATTAATTGGAAGCTATAAATAAAAATAAATAGCATAAATTAGTTCAACAACTTATTGTGACTTGCAAAATATTCATACCTTTTATTTTTCTTTTTCACTTTTGGCAGGTCGGAAGCATAGTTTAAATTTTTCACATTTTTTTTTTATCAACTGAAATAACTCTGAAAATTATATTTATTCAGTTCTCTTTCGCGTTGTCAGAATTCTAAAGAAAGAACATTTTTTTTTGCATCTCGACAGTCTCGGCGGGATTTCGATTTTCGCACGGCGAGCGCAGATGCTCTCTTTCCGTCGAAAGTTCCATGGCCCCGCTTTTGCCCTGTCAGAGAAATGTGACATGGGCGAGCTTTTAATGCACAGCAGATAGAGCAAAAGTGGCATGTTGCGAGAGCAAATCCGGGCTTAGTCGGCTAAAGGGAGCATTGGATGCACCGCGCGCGTGTTGCAGTCAGATTGTAATTCCCATGGAGCGCGAGCGGATTACAACGCACGCAGCGACCATGGACTGATTCATCCTAAAACGACGATAATTGCGCCCCTTGCTCTTAATTACGCTCCAAGTGGGCTGCGGGTTTTCACAGCAAAATGGTCTTTTATCCAGAAGTTATACTATTTTCTCTCAAAACCTCTCAACACTATAAAAGTCTGTTATTTGTGAACAAAAAAAAACTTGGCACTTTGTTATGGTTATCTGTAATTAAATGACCACATTTTTATTAAATTAAATAAATATAGCTTAAAATTTTATTTAGTATTTTTTTCTAATAATAGAATTGGTGCTTTGATATTTAATTAATAAACGGATTTATGGTAAATTAATTATCTGATTAAATTTTAAATAAGAAAATCACATTAATGTTTTAAAAGCATATAAATAATAATAAAAATAATCATATTAAAATAAAAGTTTCACATAATTTTTCTCTTTGATTTGTTTATTATAATAATTTAATTTCAAATTGCGTCTTTAATTGAATTAAGTTTGGTTTTTTAACCATTTTTTTTCTAATTTGTATTTTTTAACAATTATTTTATAATGAGATTTAATATTAAAATACATAAGTTGTAACTAAATTAGAACTCATTTTTGTAAGTACAACTTTTGTGTCAACAGTTGCACTAAAATGAGTTTTTAATAAAATCCAAGATTTCAAAATAATCAAATGTATTAAATTTAACCAAAATTTTCAATACCAATGCGGACCAAACTTGCTATTTTATTGCAATTTTTTTCATTATTTTGAGAGATCCGGCCAAAAATGGACAATATTTTAACAAAAAGTGTCAGGGACCTTCTGATACTGATAAAATGTTCACTTTGGGAAAGATAAGTTTTTTGCACTTTTCCCACGGGAGAAGCGGCTATCTGGCTTGTCGGCAAAATATGAATAGCGCCGCTGCGTATTGTTGTGGTGTTGACGTGCGGCGGGCGAGATTGAGTTATGAGCCGCGATAATAGCTACTCGGCGCCCCCTTTCCGAACGACAGAGGATGCCACGCGCCTTTTGAAACCCGACGTACGCGCGGCGCAAACTTTGTTACGCAGCGGCCGCAATTTCCTCCCGCCTTTGAAGTGTCCCTGATTGCGGAAGGAACGCGCTGCGTGCAGCGGGAATCACATTTCACCGCACTGATTCTCAAGCAAAAGTGGACCTTCAAAGCCGATATCATATGAGGGCCAATATTTTCCAATCGCATGATCACATCGATCTCGGAAAAATCTTACAAAAAATATAAGCCAGAAAAAATCAATCCACAATAAATTTGAAAATTGAAAGCATTGAACCAGTCGGCGAAAAAATAGAAATTAAATTAATTCTTCAGCAAGATTTTTTTTAATTTCCTTATTTTATTTCAGTATCTTATGCTCTTCCTGTATTAACCAAATTTTATAAACTGCATTGAAATTAAAACCGTTAAAGTAAAAAAAAACAGCTCATATCATAACTTAAAATTAATTTTGTAGACTTGAAAATTAAAATTTATTTTGTTATTTTAATCAAAAACATATTAAATTATTCTATTTAATGTCCGAAATTGATTTAAATTTCTAAATTGAACTGAATTCTCACCGGTCTTGACTTGATTCTTCAATGTAGAACTGCAGTCGTCCAGCAGCTGCTGCAGATTGACGGGCTGGTCGGTCAATTCGAGGTCCAACGAGGCCTTCATGTCTTCAGGGAACTTGAAGTGCAGCACCTTTTCATTTCGATCGCTCGTGTCCCGCACGAAATCGGCGAGCAGCTCGTTCAGCTTGGCCAGAAAAATACGGGTGTTGTCCAGCCCATCAGGGTTAACCGGAAGTAAATCTGCAAAAACGTATGTTTGCGAATTACAACGCGTCCGTTTCAATTACAACGGGGCAATATATGGGATGGTGTGTTTAAACTGCAAGGAGCGCCTGCTGCTGGCACCCTCTCCAAAAACGCAAAACGCTCTCGAGGGATGCGTTGGGAGTGCTTCAGATAAGGGCTGTTTACTCAGTCTGTAGAGGCGCTTTGTGGATACTCAGAGAGCGCTAAACTTCATTTTTTGGCAGCAAATATTTTTCAACTGCAGAAAAGCTTAAATATTTTGGAGCTAGGATAAAAAATAAATAAAATAAATGATGCTTGATTTCAATAAAGACAAACCCAAAATCAAAATAAAATTAAAAAAAAGACAAAATTGAGTGGCGCCTTCTGCGTCACTAAAAAGGGCACAGGCCGACAAGACCTTGTCTTGGCCTGACCCTAAAAAATAAAAAATAAATAAATTAATTAATAAATAATAAAAAAATTTGAGAAAGCGAATAAATAAAATTAAACATTAACATTTAAAATGTGAAAATTTTATTCCCCCACCCAAATTTACTTCTTTAAAATTATTTTGTCCCATAAAAAATTATAATGCAAAACGATTTAAAAAAAAAAAACCTTTGAAATTTAAATTTCTTTCCCTTTACAGTACAATTTTTAACCCGTTTTTGCAACTTTGGTCTCGCGCAACGTTTAGACGACGATGCAAGTTTGCTGGAAAATCGACAAGCGGCGAGGAATGTCTGGCGTTGGAAAAACATATCAGCATTCCAGTCATTCCTCGACTGTGTTCTTTAATTAAAAAGCCACCGAGTATGCAGCAAAGGGGAGCTCTCGACGTGTAGAGATGCAATATTACATTTCCTCACGGGCCCGGGGGCGGCTAAACGGGCATAAATGAGTTGGAATTGGCCCCTCAGCGTCTTTTGGCGCAGATGTGTTTTGTCAGCGAGGGGTGGGTTTTGATTACTGCTTTTCATAACAATAAGCGAGCGCCGCCGCCGAGCACATTGTTCCGTCCTGCAGTCCCGACATAGATTAAAAAAAAAATACTACGATTTTTTTTAGCATTCGCATCAAGTTTGCTTCCCAATCCGGTGAGCTTTGAAGATTTACTTTCATAATAATCATTCATCGTTTTGTTAATTGGGAATTTTAAAATTTTATTTTTCTTCAAAATTATGAATGGTGTATTTTGTTATACGTAATGATTGCCTCTGCGTGATAGATTGATAAATATTTATTGCAACTATAATTAAAAATTCCTTTTTTTTAAAGACGGTGAAAAAAAAGCAGAGGCAATCATTACGTATAACAAAATACACCATTCATAATTTTCAAGTAAAATAAAAGGTAGCTTGAATTAGAGAACAAAAGAAAATTACAGATAAATACTTATATTTTGAAGAAAAATAAAATTTATTGCAACTAATTAAAATTTCCTTTTTTTTTAAAGCAATAAAATCAGCTGCATGAGACTCCAATCAAAATCGCGGTTAAAAATATTTTTGAAATAAAAGTTCCCCGGCAGTCTGCAGTGTGAAGCTGCTGCTTAAAAAGTGAGAGTTTCATCCCGTCGGAGCGAGGAGCGAGTGGCTCATTTGCATTCGGGGCGAAACAAAGCCAATTGATTCAATTATCGATTGGCGCGGCAAAGTGGAAAAGGATACAGAGCACCTCGTGCGCCTGCAAGTGAACAGACCCACCGCCGGGAGTGTTGTGTAAATAAGGTTTATCTGCCAAGTGGCTTTGTGATGCAATTCATTATTCTGATGATGGGGGAGCGCCGAGGATTCTCTTGCAGCCGCGTCCGGGGACACAGCTGTGAATTATTGACACTCGCGCGCGCGCGGCTCTTTCTGATTTAAAAAATACAAACTGCCGCATAGGGGAGCTGCAAGGTGAAATCCTCGCCGCTCTCAAGAGACTCGGGATTGTAGCTGCCTTTGCGGCTTACGGACTTTATGAATGGGACGGGCAAGCTATTTCTTACTCGCAACGACGTAGCTTTATATTTAGAGGTTTATCATGCAGTTTTTTTCTTTGCCTGGTGGATTGGAAAGTCTTGTCCTCTCAAAAGGAAAATTATTAGCAAATACAATTAAACTTATTAAAGCTGGTGGAAGAAAAAATTTATTCAGATAATATAAAAATAGATTTTAAGATAAGTTCGAACAAACTTTCTAAAGCTGGCACATAATATTTCTATTTAAAAGTTCTGCAAGATGCAAATTAATTATAAAGTTTGAAATCTATATTTTAAAACCAAAAGCAAGCGTAAAAAAACATAAATAACATTTTAAATTTTAAAATAAAAAATTTAACAATAAATATTTATATTATACTATTTAACAATTGTTTTATAGGTTTTGTAATATATTTCATATAAAATTTATTATATTAATTTAAAAAAACATTGTTATGTAATGCTTTCATAATGTCAAATGTTATTAGTTGAAATGTATCTCATTGTATATATAAATATTATATTAACATGAGGCATTTATACAAAATAATATCAGGTTGTTGGGCGAGAAGTTTTTTATATTTAACAATGTTTTGAAGGTCTTAGGTGAAAATATAAATAATAATTATAATCACTATCATAAATATCCAGTAAAATCAACTGATAATGTCTAAAATAGGTTACGTAATAAGAGTTATGCATAAATTTCACCACATCAAGTACTAAAGATTTTTTTAACAAAGTGGTAGAAATTCAGCAAAGAAGAAAAACATCATTTCTGCCCGTTTTGTAAGAGAGAATGAGAGCAGTGGATCCCGTCTGTGGGGAGTTTTGCTTGCAGCGTTGGATTTCGCACTAATCCCGATCATCTATCTTTTTTACCCGCCAGCCAAATCCATCTGCGCCTCATCTTCTCTTTCTTTCCGTCTCTCTCAACCACGATGAGGAGGCTTTATTTTATAGAGAGCGGCGAAAGTAAAGGAAAAACGGAAGGGGAAGTAAAAATATATAAATTCTGCTTCGAAAAAGATCGAATTTTTGTGCATTTTGAAAAAGCCAGCAGTGAAACGGAGCGTCGAAACAATCTGCGAGATTACACGAGCATGCGTTGCGCGAAAAATAAAGAGTTAAGCCATGCACGAGTAATTCGCCAGCCTTTTTCCGCCCTCCTTTTTCCGGCTCGGATCCTTTCAAAGGAGAAAAAATGAAAAAAAGAAGAAGAAGCAGAGCGATATGAAATTCCTGGTGTTCTCCCTTGGAATTTAAAAAGACGAGTATTTTCCACGCCTTGAGGTAAAATCTTACTATGAGCAAGTATTTTAATTTTATTTTGTTATGTAATAATTTTGTGTTATTTTAATATATCCAAATGAGATCTGAATGGAGAATTAATTAAATAAGAAAATAATTCAGGAGTGACCGCGAATCGCAAAATCCGCCCGCGCTCTTTTCATTCTTTTTAATAGCCAAGGGGGTGCTTTTCTTTCTGTCGCTGGAGGGGAAGGGGGAAGATAAGATGATTTTAATGTTTGCTGCACATCACACGGTTCACTGGCCGGGGATGCATTGTGACAGAGATGAGGGCAGGCACCCCCGGCGGGGCAAACACCTTGCTCGTGCGCGACCCCAGCAGCGCGCCACTCACGATTACTCGCGGTCCGCTGCCCTGATTGCATTCTAATCCTTGCCGGGGGATCGCAGGCAGCGTTCATTGTGTGCCCTCGCTAATAGCGCCACTCTCAGATTAATTCGCCTTCCTCCTCCTCCTCCGACTGCTTGTGATTGATTGTGTTTTGCATTTTAATCTGGCCGCCTTTGTCGAACAGCAAAATCCAATTCCGAGAGGCAAACTTTCCCACAGAATAAAACTTGTCCGGTTCCTTCTCCCAATCGCAAAGTTTGAATAAAAATCGAGAAATACGCAGTTTTTTTCATTATAAACTCCACTGACGATGAGAAACTTCATTTTGGAGGAGAAATTTTATTATTTTCATAAAAGAGAAATTGAAGCGAGTTCGCGCGTTGAGGCTCCGAGCAGTGACTTAATGCAAGGGTGGATGGGAAGAAGGAAATGCGAAAGATCAACTTGTCGCTTCCTGCAGACTCCAAAATGGCCGCCGCTTGCGTCACCAATTGATCGACCGACCCCTTTTTCGGCGAGACCCTCATTCAGACTGTGGCGCCGCTCTGGTGGTGACCCACAAAACGGAAATTCACGGCATTAGCCTAATTTAAAAAAATTTGAAGCCAGAGTAAAATCCCCGATATCATTCTTATTCATATCAATTTCAAAATTAGGTTCATGAATAAACAAAATTAGACAGAAAACACGTAAAATAATTTAAAATTTTGTTTTCAAACAGGAATTTTTCATAAATAGGGAGCTTATAAGGGTGGAAAAAATCCAAAGCAAAGAATCTATGCAACGCGCGCGAGGGCCGAGCGCAGCAGTTTGCCTAACCCAACATTTGGCAGGCGCGCACGTCTGCCACGGAGGCGCTGCGTCTGGCTTCCGACTTCCGACGCGTGACCTCAAAACGACCTTAGCCTAATTTGAATCAATATCGTTAAATAATTAGCAAGTAACTGAATATGACATTTTTCGTAATTTTTCTGCAAATCTGAAAAGAAATTTGAAGAATTTAAAAAGTTAAACATTTAAATGCTGCTAAAGAAGACCATATATTTGAAAAATTCCAACTCAAATCCCCAAATGTTTAACTTAAAATTAATAATAATAATAATAATAAAAAAAACACAGCAAGAATTGAAGCAAATCGGGAAAATCTGCTGCCAATCTTGACCTTTCGGAACAATTTTGATCAATAGTAGGACTTTCATGGATTAATTACCTCTTCTTTTTAAATGTGAATTGCCTTTTTAGATATTTCTGGGCATATATTTACCTTGAAAATGGAGTTTGCCGACTTCGTCGGGCAGCTTGTAGGAGCTCATTTTGGGGGTGGCTGGGCGGCTGACGGGAGGTGCACGAGATCAGAGAGTGTTGTTCCGACGGACGCAAGTCAGGTTCTGGGTCCACCTAGCTCGGTGGAATTGGTGCACCAGCATCCAAGTCGGGGGCGGAGTCGGGCACCACTGACGTCATTGCGACCCCACGATGACGTCAAGCCCGATTCGGCGTGGGTGGTTTCGGCAAAATGGTGCCCTATTTTAAGCGCGATAAGGCAGACTGGCATGGATTTTCCAACACTGCTGCGTAGAAATTTTTGGTCATGGTCTGCTCCACTTTCTGTGCCTCCAGCGGGCGCCTAATGATGGAGCGAGGGTTGGAGGGAAGATCGGCTCAGAATATAGAAGAGAAAAGCTCTTATCTCGTGGGAAGAAAATTGCGCCGAATGTCTTTTAATCCTCGTATAGCATAATTTTAGTCATTCAAACCTCTCTTCCTAATTTGCTTTAAGGAAAAGAAAAATGCAACTGTTTAAATTTCAAATAAAACGTTTTTCTCTGTTAAAAAGAAAATTTCAAAATTTAAAAACCTAAATGGGTGATAATTTGAAACCTAAAATGATTTTTTTATCAATGAAATAGCGGTAATTTAAGTTATATTTATCCAAATTGTTACAAAACTTTTTCAAAAAAAGTAATATTGGAGGAAAAAATTAAATTTTTTACAAAATGGTCATGCTAAAACTTCCTAGATCAAAAGATTTAATCCGTTGCTATGAGCAGTAAATTTGAGAAAATTAGACAAGAATTTCATAACCGTTTGTGTAAAAGTGTTTTGCACTTTGCAAAGATTTGCAGAAATTTATTTTTATTGATTAGAATTAAACCGTTGAAAATGAAGCTTTTTGAACTCATTAAAGCAAATTCGAATGGCAGTAACTGTAAATTTTTATATTTTTTCATAAATTTTTGACATTCTTCAAAATAATTTTGAGGACAACCTTCATCTTTTGCATATCATAGCTATTAATTTAGTAGTGTTTCTTACAAAGATATAATTAACTTTTTTTGCTATGCACTTACAATTAGTCACGCTTAGTGAATAATCAGTTCATTGTATAGTTGAATAATTCTACTAATTTTTCAATAAATTACATTTTTTACAACAAATGTAATGAAATTTACAATTAATGTCTATGAATCGAGTTCTATAGACATTTTTGTTATTAATAAATCAGTAAATCAATAAATCAAATAAATAAATAACAATTTATTTATTTCAGATTCATATCGCAGGATTAACAAAACAAACTGCAACAGCCAGATTACATTTTAAATCAAATTCGGCAAAATTGCTTACGCAGTCGTTAAATTTAATTTCCCGCTTCATCTCCAATAACGCCAACAAAGCTCTAATCGCCGCCTTGCATTAAACGGCGTAGGCGCTCGAAAAGGTCAGAGGGCGGCCGACGAGGCGCAAAAAAGAAAAAGTCCGCAAGGGCCGCGTGTGCCGCATGCAATAATTCAGCTGCAGAAGAGAAAAGCGTGACGCACGAAATATGTATAAATGTTATTTTGTCACTAGATAGTATAAAAAGCGGCCGAATCGAGCGGCCCTTTGAGGGCGCGGGGCGGGTACGAGTGAAATCGGCGGCGCCGGCGCACCGTTGGCGCCGCCCTCGCGCCAATAGCTCGCTCGCGCGCCCCCGGCGGCGCCGCGTAATTGCATTTCATGCGCTCTTTAGCGCCTTTTGCACAGATTGTGGGTATTGATCCCCGCGGGCGGTCTCTCGACCAGTCCTCTCGGCGGCGAACAAATTAATTTCGGAAGCGGTGATGCTTCTCGCCTCTTTTATTCCTTTTATTGCCGCGGCTGGAAAAACGATCCGAGTGCAATCGGAATGATGGTTGGACGCGTCGCACTTGGTGCAGCGCAAAAAGCGCGACCTACTTCTGTCGACTGCACTTTACTTGAATTTCTGAACAGTTGGAGCTCCAACTCAGCCTCGAGTGCAATAATTAAAATTTATGGCCACGTCCTTTATCGTGGTTTAAATTGCTTTTTAATGACGTTTTCCACTGTCATTTTGATTGATGTTCACTAAACCAATACTTAAAAGATTCATAAAATATATGAAAATACCTGTTAAGGTGAGAGAGTTTAATTTGATGTATTTTTATATAAATAATATTAAATAAATGATTAATATTTCCATTTGGAACGGTAAAAATTCAGTTCAATTAGCTTGTTCTAAAAGAGAAGCAAACTTCTTAAGATTGAAAATCATGGAAGCAATAAAAATCAATAAAATTATTAACTTTAATTGTGATCAGTAATTTAAAAATTCTACAAAACATATTTCATAATTCAAGCATTAGAATTTTACAATTTAAAACAATTCCAACGGATATTCTCAGAATACTAGCAAAAAGCAGAATAAAATAACAATAAAATGAATGAATGAATGAACTGCAATCTGAGCTTGTCAATTTCTTGAAAAATAAGTAAAAAATTATATAAATTGATATATAAATGATATAAAATGATAAAAATATGATAAAATGAATGGTAAAACCGGGTAAAACTGTAATCTGGGATTGTCAATTTCTTGAAAAATAAGTAAAAATAAAGATACTGCAATAGATTTTTATACGATTTATTAATCTATTTGTTATCTATACAAGATCTATGCTATATTATTTTTGGAAATGAAGATTCGGGCTTCTCCTCGTTGCAAAAAATTGTTTTTATTCAACAGCCGTTTGTTTTTGAATAAAAACAATTTTTTGCATAGAGGAAAAGCCCGAATCTTCATTTCCATGATCATCTCCTCGAGTGTCAACTTCTTCAAACAAATATATTATTTTTCTTTAAATTTTCTCATATTTCATATAAAGTTTTAATTTCTTATTACTTTTGTAAATAATTTTTAAAATTATTAAGCTTTAGTGCTTTTAGTATAAAAGAATTCCAATGAATGATAAAATACGTCCTATTTTTGTATATTGTGTACTTCGTGCATAACAAAAATTTTAGCTTGTCTAAAAAAATATTGGAAAACAATTTTATTAAAAATGCTTTTATTTAATTAATTAAAATTTTAACACCACTCCATTTTCCTGTCACGATTTTTGGCAACGCGATAAGTCAAGTTGGTGACGTACTTTGTGCTAAATTATTAGCACCCGTCGCTCCTGTCGCCCTATATAGCTTTTATGTTTACAGATTTGTGTACAAAGCTTCGACAACTCGTGTGATACGCGCACGAGTCAATTAGGCACTCAGATTGATGTGCGTTGACATTCTCCTCAAGGGTTGTGGCTAATGGATAAGCGATAAACCCTCGAGAGAAAACGGTGGTGGTGCCTGACTGACTATAAATCTCTATCTTATCAGTTGCCACTGCGAGAGTATAACAAGCACATCTCCGCCTGTTTCGCAACCCATAATTTCACCAACCCCTTCAAAGCGCACCTCGACACGCTCTTTCCATAACAAGCAAAGGTAATTAAAATTTATTTCAATTTTTTGCAAATTGTTCAAACACAATTAATTCCATTACATTTTAAATTGTTGATTCGATTATTTATCATTTTTGTAAATTTTTATGAAAAAAAATATTAATTGGAGTAGTAAAAGCACAATAATGGACAATTCAGGATTTGATAATTAAAAATTAATTTAATATTGTCCTTAAAATAAAACTTTAGGAAGTTCACTCTAAACGCAGCGAGTTTTCCCTGTGCCTCGTGCTTAGTTAATAATTATTTTAGGGGCGCTCATTTCACTCTTTGCCGTCGTAAACTACCCTAAAGTTCGCCCAGGCAGCTTCAAAGTTCACGCAGTCATTATTAATTAAGCCTGGCAGCTGCCTGTTCTCGCGAATATAAGCGGCGAGTTGCTTGAATATTATTACGCAAAGTTGTATTTACTTTATTTTATAGCGCTAGCGTGAAAGTTTCTTTTCGGCCAATGATTTTTCAATAGTTATAATTGGTTATAATGAAGATAACAAGCAATAATTTTGTAAAAAAAAAGAAAATAAAGCGCTGTACTTTTATTTAACAGCACAATATTTAATTAAAATCAAATTTCGAAATAGTAAAATTTTGTTATTTTTTTTCTTTGTTCATGTCGAAAGCAAATTTTTTTGGATATTTTAGTATGCAAAAAGAAATCTGGATTTTGCTCTTCCCTGCGCGTTGCACTGATATTTCAGTGAAGAGAATTATTTAAGCTTGAATTTGTGTCGAGTTCTCCCTCTCCAAACCACACGGCTCGCGTTATGTGTGGGTATTTGCAAAATCAATACAGTTCGTTCCGTTTGGCAGCTGGTTATGCAATACCTTGGCTTGACGCCATCTGAAACCACCGACCACAGCGATGTAAAAAAAAATATAAATATTCATACTCTTTAAAATTAAAATTAATTAATTAAAAATATTGTTTTGTCATTATTGAAAAAAAAATGATTTTATTTACTGTTGAGCTCTATTAATTTATAATATTATTAAAAATCCATAAAAATTATTTTCAATGTCACCTTAAAATCAGTGAAAGAAAATGCTTAAAATAATGTCCTAAAATCAGGAATTATTTTGTCCATATTATCATTTTTTTTATATTTAAATTTCTATGCGGTAGAGCTAAAGCTTTTGTAGATTCTTAAATGTAGTGTAGAATTGTATTTTCTTATGATTTTTTTTTTATACAGTTAAACATTTACTATGTTTTAAAAATTAAAATTATTACCAAAATTAATTAAATTTGAAGCTTTTCTACAAATAATTTATTTTGTCTAACAATTCCTCTTTTTAAATAAATTGAATGTAAACAATTTGTTGTAACAATGTGGAAATTCTTTGAGCATAATTTTTTAACTTAGCGAATTTGAAAATCATTACCAGTTTAATTTTTATGCTTACCCTTTTTTTAAGCAGGTCGTGTCATGCACCGACAGCTGATGTTTCTGGCGGCCACGCTGGTGGCCGTTGGAGCGGCCGTGCCGTCAGTTTTTTCCTCGAGCTTTGCGCCGAACAGCACCGCCTGCCAGAGGCTGTGCAAGGATGGCCTGGGTGGGCTGCCGTGCGGCTGCGACCCTGATAAGACGTCCAAGCAAATGTCCAAGGACATCTACCACTGGCGCACCAGCCACCCTGAGGACAAGATCATCAAAGGGCCACGCTGGCAAATTTGTCCTCTTCTGTGCCACCTCAAGTTGGGCCATCCGCTGTGCGGGTCAGTATTAAATTTTCTCAACGTAAAACAAAAATTAATTCCTCATCAAGGAGAGAAAAAGCTAAAAAAATTGTTGGCGTGTAAACAGAAAATTTCAACCGAATCTAGGCAACCTGCGTAACTTCCTCTTGGTGCGAGTTGCATAACTTTCATTTTTATAAAAATCTATGATCAAACATGCACAGCAAAAAACATTACAAAAAAATCCTAAACTCCAATTTTTGGATATTAAAAGAACTTATTTCCAATAGCTAGAATTTTAAGAAATTCACGTTAAATTCAGTTTTAAATCTAGGATTTGATTTCAGATGTGGAGCGAAAAATAAGCCAAATGTAGAATTGGAACATGAAAACGTGTGCAACTTGTGCGACCTGGTAATCGATGAGCCTGACGTCTTCAAAAGATTAGGTTGCGATAAAAGGAAATGCGGCGCGTCCTCGATGAATCGGAACTATGATTTGACCCTCGGCATCAATGAGATCTCGAACGGTTTGTTGGAGGAATTTGTCGACTGGAACCTTTGGTGCACAATCCAGTGCGAAGAGGGAGACGGCGGCATCGCCTGCAACTGCGACATGCTGCCCTTACAATTAGCGGATTAATTTGAATGATCCAATGAAAATATTGATAATATTGATAATTATTTGCATATTATATGCTTATTTTAACTAACATAGTATTTAATATTTTAATTTGTATGGTAGGGGGCGGAAAGGGCTACTTTATTTAATAAATAATAAATAATATATATATGCATTGTAACTACCTTGAAATATTATAATCGTGCGCTTTCATTCAATGTTTCACAATCTTTAATATTTTTCATCACTATTAAAATAATTAAATATCCAGTATGTGTTGAAATAATTATAAAATTATGCATTTCATTGGCCAAAATTTCCTCAAGCATAAACCTTTTTACAAAATAATAAAACATTCCCTTTATTTGATGCGATTTGGATAAAAGAAAATTGGTAAAAATTATTCAATGAATGGTTCAAGCTTCAAAAATTCAGAAAAGTATACGTCTTAAAAAAAAATCAAAATTTGAAAACAATTCAAAAGATAAATTATATTAGTTTCGCTTTATTTTATAATGAAACTGGTTAAAAAAATTTCCAAAGCACAAAAGATTATTATTAAAATTGTATTTTTTATTGCAACTTTCGCTGAAACTATTAATTATTAATGATGCATAATGTTATAATAATTTAACTAATTTAACAAATTTAACAAATTGTAAGTTTTAGATGAGTTTAATAAATATCTGATGGTGTCAAAATTTGTTTTATGGTAACTATTTTTTATTTAAGAAATATTATTGAAACCCTTATAAATAATCTTTATAACCTTCCAAGTGGCTGGGAGAGAGATAAATAATTAGGTTTACATAAATTTGATTAGATTCAGAAGCCGAGAAATTAAATCAAAAAAATTCATCTGCTTCAGAAACGCATTTAATAAATGCTTTTTCATGTCACAAGAAATTCCGTCAATGGAAAATTTGCTGGGAACATCGATCCGATTTGCAAAAAGGGTTGACACGCCTGCGACTCAAAAGTGATGCTGGGGATGCATCTGTCGTCCGCGAGGCTGCGCCGCTGCATGGACCGAATAATAAGTTTGAGCTTGACAAGAGGGAGGACGCTACGTATACTAACTAAGGGCCTTAGCGGTTTAAATTCTCAGCTCGCATAGAAAGCATACATGTAATATTCCATGATATAAACATTTAATATTATAATTAATTATTGTAAAAGATAAGATAACTTTCTGAAAACATTCTATTTTAATATTTTTTCCAAATCATAAATTATCAATTCAACAAATCTAGTTCTCTACCCTAAAATAACTGAAAAATAATTACACCAAAGTTTAATTTCAATCTATGAACAATAATAAAATTATTATTTATCATCCAATTTGGCAAATTAACTTCTTTTAGGTTTTCATTTGTTTTTTCATGTATAATTATATCTAAATATTCACGTTTCAAAATAATTATTAGAGGACACCGCAAGACCTTCCCGCCTGACCCTCTCAATAAATAACTCAAATAACAAATGCATTGAAACTATGTTTTTACATATCAATTTTTAATTTTTTCTAATAAATATTAACTATAATTGCAAATTAATTGTTAACAAACAAACCGCTTGAATAAAATATAATAAAATATTTAAATACTTGAAATTAGTTTAAAAAATTATTAATTATATAAAAAAATTATACATTACATACATGTATTGTTACAACTTGTTTAAATTTAAATGTTAAGCGACTAAAGTAACAAATTCTTAGGTTTGTTTGCTCAGGGATGCGATTTTCATTTTAACGCGAACACCTTTTTTACTCATCTTGAATGTTCTCATCTTAAATGCACTCTTCCTAAATGTGCTCTTCTTAAATCTACTTTTCTGAATGGTATTCGTCTAAAATGCACTCTTCTTATATTATTTTTTCAAATGATCGCTCGCTTAAAAATACGAAATTCGTTGATCCAAATCAGCTTTCATGGTCTGCTGATAAAAGAGTAAAGCATAGGGGGTGTTTGCTTTCTGATAGTGATCGAGCAGGACGTCCCAGCTTAAGGAACACGTACGAATTACCAAAGTAGAAATAATAAATAAAATGAAAACTTTGTAGGACGTGGAGCGCGTGTCTGCTGCCCAGACCGACACTCACGTGCGCTATGTGGCAATAATAAAGCATGGAAATAATGCTCGGCACTCTCGAGACGCCGCAGAGAATATTATTTTTTTGTGGATCTTATTTCTCTTTCGTCAAGAGAAAGAGAAGAAGAGCCTCTCGGCGCGTTTTATATTATTTTATATATCCAACTGCGTGTGGCGTGTGGAGGTATCTTTGGTACGCGCAAGTGGAGCCCAGAGCAACCTTATCGCGTCAACCTTACGCTTTGGTGAGATGATAAGGCACCGTCATATAAAGCCGAAATAATAATCATCAGCTCTGCTTATCTGTAAAGAGAGAATCCCCTCGCTGGCAAAAGCAGACAGCGTGTTGCTGAGTCAAAATTAGATTTCACTGCGCAAAACTTATGTATCTCGATCAAAATTAAAGTTGCTTGGAGAAATAGCCAATTATTTTTATCCATTCAATCTATATACACAAGCAAGATCCAATCAAAATAAAGATCTGAAACAAGTCCGCGCATTGAAAGAAAAATTATTAAAAAAAAAAAAAATCTAACTGACCGAACTCGTCATTAAGGAACTCCCAGGACGTTCTGCTTTGTTTTGGTCATTAAAGAAACACTTTTCAACGCTTTTTGGAGCCCACCCTTGCGCCAGATAAGCTTCACCTCTGACATCTTCGGAGAAGAGTAAACTATTAAAAACGCCATCCATCATTAAAAAAATATCTTAAACCAATAACGACGCATAGATAATGAATTCAAAACATGAGAGAGATTATCATTATACAGTGTAACGAAAAAATGGAGTGTTACAAAAACCTAAATCAAATAATCTATCACCGCAGCATTCATATTTTTTTTTTAATATATACGTTTGATTGATATTTATATTGTTAAACCAAGTGTTTACAACTGTTTAATAATAATCGCAAAACATGGCTCATCTTATTGTTGCTGTAAAGACTTAATTTAACTTTGCCTCCTTTTTCATGTATTTATGTGTCTCTCATTATTGTCATTTGAAAATACAACATCTAAATCACCGGGGTCTCGATCCAATCTGCTTGTCAGACATGTCCTCTGTGGGCACCAGCAGGGGGAGTGGCAGTGTTTTCATGATAAACGGGACCGAATAAGTTTAGACGCAATTTTAATAAATGTTTTAAAAAATCAAGGAAATATTCACACACCTGGGGCGAGTCAATAAGTGCGGCGGCACTTCTGAGTGGTCGGCGCGGGAAGAAAATCCATCATTCGCCTTATTTTGGTGAGATACGGGCTGATTGCTGATATTTATGCCCGATTCGCCATTTTTCCACCAGCGAGGAAGTTTCCAGAGACGCCGGTGCATGGGCAGTCGGCGAGAGAAAAGGAAATGAGGGAGGGTTGGGAGGGAGCGCTACCTGCCCAATGCAGCAGCATTGGAATGCGCTCCCACCAACACTCTCTCTTTCTCTTATCACTCGCCGCTGCCGTTGTGCCCAACTTGTCCTTGGAAGAAGGAAAATGGCGAGAAAGGTGAAAATTTTCATGAATCGCCACCGTATCTCATCGAATTGAGGCGAATGGGGAATTTTCTCATTCAGCCGACCACTTGGAAGAGGCGCCGCACTCATAAACTGGTCCCAGGTATGTGAATTTTGCTATTATTTGTACAAATTAATGCTTTCCCGTTGATTTTATTTATTTATGTCACTTTCAAACGCTGCTGAAAATTTGAAATTTGCGCCACCGAAAACCAACAGCCAATCAAAAGTGGTGCCTACAGCGGCCTATAGAGCCATGATGCATGCGCGACCGTTTCAAAAGATTTTCATGATCGAGACCCCGGTGATCTAAATTATATTTATTTTTGCTGGTTTGTTGATGTTTATTTAGCCTATAGGGGCTTCTGGGACGAAACGTTCAATTTTTATAAGAATTAAATGATTGCTTTATTTATGAGATTTTTCAGCTGCAAGGAGATTTTACGTGAAAAATGCCGATTAGGTGAAAAATACGTAAATATTATTCTTTTTGTAGTAGAATTTCACGATCGAGGGTAGATTCATGTGATTTGAATTTAAAATCGGCTTTTGTGAAGAAATGTTAATTTAAATAATTTTTCACAGAAAATTGTCAATTTGAAAGAACAATAATTTTTGAAAAAAGATTTATTTTTGTACTAATTTTTGTCAAAATGATTTCGCAGCCGAAACATGTAGAGCAGGATATTGTTTTTCTGAAAAAATAGAAAAACTCACAAATACCCATCGAAGAAAAGCCGATTTTAAATTCAAATCACCATAAATATAATTATTATTGTTAGGTGAAATTTTAAAACTAAAAATAGGTGATAACGGAGGAGAAAAGACTCAAAATAGGAGGTGAAACGTCAATTTTCAGTTTTAAAAGTAACGTTCTATAAATCCCGTCCCATTTAATTTATTTAGCCAAATTGTTTTAAGCACCATCACCAGCAAAAAGATTCGGATCAGCGATCAAATAATAAAGTAATTAAATTTCAAATTAAGAGCCTGCCGTAGAACATCGACCTCTCATAATGTGTGCGTCTTGCGCAGTGATAAATAAAATTTTAATTTATTCTGCGTGCGCTTCTGATTATATTGCGTCGCAACAAAAGGTTTGGTGCTGATGCTTCTTCGATTTCATTTGCAAAGCGCAGCAGAGGTGTGTGTGCGTGAAAAGCGCTCTCGAAATAATATATACGCATACAAAAGAGTTTTGTATCACCATGTATAGTTTTGTCAGGTGACAGGAAGTAGCTATAAGCGAGAGAATAGAACGGGCATATCGGGAAAAGCGATCCAGACGGGCTAAAAAAGGAGGGACACAATTGAAAAGGCTCAAGATGCACCAAATGTAATGAACGGGAAAGGCGGTTCGCGGCCGCGGGGCTCATCGCCGCCATAAATTACGTTTCGAATGAAAAATAGACACGAGCGCTCGGGATAATTATAATTATTGCGACGATAAATTAATATTTTGTTTGCTTCGCTCGATTAATTGCCCGCAGATAAGGAGGTTAATATGCAGATGATGAGGGTAGGCCCGGTCGTTTTATATAAATCGCGGTTTCCTTGTCATTTTTCTTCTTCCTTTCTTGTGAAAGAACTGCTTGGGAGCTGGAAAAAAATTGGGGGAGGAACCATTGTGATAATTCTTTACAGCGTTTTTGATAACAACGCACACCTGAAAAATGGTAGGCAAACCCCAAAGGAAGAATTTATAACGCGAGAGGGAAACCCTTAATTCTTCAGTAACAATTTCTCAGGAGTTTATTTAATTGCCACAACTTGGCTCCCTCATTATGTAGGAAGAATTGGTTCTCACGAAAAACTGGACGTGATCAAAGGGTGTTTTCAGGG